TTGTTTAGAATTTTTAGGTCTTCTTCGTTCAACTTTGGTAAATCATACGCATCTAGGAATCTGTCCATTTCTTCTGTGTTTTCCATCTTATTGGAGTATAGGTTTTTGAAGTAGGTATTGATGATCCTCTACATTTCTGCAGGGTCCATTGTAATTTCATCTTTTTCATTCCTAATTGCATGGATATGGGCTTTTCTTGCTTCTTTTCGATAAGGTTGGCTAAGGGTTTGCCAATTTTGTTTATTTTTTCGAAGAACCGACTCTTGGCTTCATTGATTTTTTGTATTGTTCTCTTAGTCTCCATTGCATTGATTTCTGCTCTGATCTTTTTTTAAAAAAATTTTATTTTATTGGTACATTTTAGGTATATAATATAATGACATTCATAATTGGTAATTTGCACTTTTACATAATCTCTCTTGGTTCTTATTTTTTCGCCCTTTCCCTGCCCTCCCTTCAACCTCTCCATCCCTCCCTATTTACAAAGACTTTGTTTTTACTTTTTCATGTTCTCATATTAATTTCATTCCCTTCTTTCCTTTCCCCTACCCATCCCACTTACCCTTCCCCTTTGCCCCTTTTCTGCCTATTTCATATTATGTATTAAACCTTTTAGTCCTTATTTACACTTTCAGTTTCTCATACTAGAGAAACTCTTTGGTATTTACACATGTGTGTCCTATTTATTTCCCTTAAGAGTATGGCCTCAATGTGCGTCCATTTAGCTATAAATGTCTCTAATTTTTCCTTTTTTATGGCTCCGTTTTATTAAAAAAACACATTTTCTTTATAATTTCCTCCCTTGTATGAGCTTTGGGTTTGTACTGCTCTTTTTTTAGAAGCTTGAGCTTCAGCATCAGGTTGTTTAATTGGGCTTGCTCTGTTTTCGTAATATGAATATTCACTGCTATGAATTTCCCTTGTAAGACTGCTTTCATTGTGTCCCATAGATTCTGATATTTTTTATTGTCATTGTCATTTAATTGTAGGAACTGTCTGATTTCTTTTTAAATTTTCTGTGTGACCCATTGATTATTCAGATGTGTGTTGTTCAATTTCCATGTGTTTAAGAAAATCTTGCGGTTTCTTTTACTGTTGATCTCCATTTTATCACACTATGGTCTGATAATATACAGGGGATAACTTCATTTCCTTTGCACTTACTTAAACATGTTCCATGAGCAAGTTTGTGATCTATTTT